AGAGAGAGAGAGAGAGAGAGAGAGAGAGAGAGAGAGAGAGAGAGAGAGAGAGAGAGAGAGAGAGAGAGACGAGGCAAGGAAAGAGAAAGAGGTCATGTGGCAGGGGGCGAGAGGGGGAAGCGAGGGGGAGAGACCAGCTGGGATAGATAGATAAATAAGATTAGATCGATAGAGAGAGAGATAGACAAAGAAGATAAGATGATAGATTAGATCAGAGCAGAGTGGAGAAGAAAAGAGGAGAAGAGTACAATAGAAGAGTACAGCAAAGTAGAAGAGTAGAGTAGAAGCAAGAGAGTGGAGAGTAAAGCAGAATAGAGATACGGTAGAGTAGAGTGTCAAGTAGCATCGAGTAGAGTGTCGAGTAGAGAGTAGAGTAGGGAGTAAGAGTACAGAGTAGCGACTAGAATATAGAATGTAGAGTAGAGATGCGTATAGAGTAGAGAAAAGTAAAAAGCAGAGTAGATTAGAGAGGGGAGAAGAAAGTACAGTAAAGAGTATGAGTAGAAAGTAGAATGTAGAGTGTGGGGTGTCTAGTAGAGTGTCGAGTAGAGCGAGACGAGTGTCCAGTAAAGAGTAGGTAAAGAGTAGATAGTCGAGCAGAGTATCAGTAGAGTGTGGAGTCAATTGGAGAGTAGAGTGTCGAGTGGAGTCGAGTGGAGAGTAGAGTGTCGAGAAGAGTAGAGAGTAGAGTTGAGTTGAGAGTAGAGCAGAGTGGAGTCGAGCGGAGTTGAGTGGAGCGGAGTGGAGTTGCAGAGTGAAGTGGAGCGGAGTGGAGCAGAGTGGATCGAAGTAGAGAGGGCGGTGGAGTGGAGAAGCGTGAAGTGCAGCAGAGTGGAGCGGAGTAGACCATCAGGATACATCGGTAAAAGTCCGTGTGTTCAGGGAGGAGTAACGTTTCCCATGTCACAAATTAGGCTCATCTGGACTGCCGGTTTACGCGGTGCACCAGGCGGTTCCGCCTTACTGGAAGAGCGCACTGCAATGCGAACAACTCGGACAGAAAGTCATTTTCTGTGTCCCACATGCATTTTCCAAATTCAAAAGCACAAAGAGGACATGGGTGCGAGGATCAGGGTCCTCGGTAGGCCTAAGGAGCCCTGTTTGCAGCATTGCCCGCCCCAAGTGAAGGCGGAGGTGCCCGCCCTGAGTGAAGGCGGGCCTGACATATAGCAAGAGGCCCTCTACTGTCAATTTCATATTTGGGGTCCAGGCAGTTGCGACGCACCAGTTGGTTGAGAGAAACTCAGGCCGGGCAACAAAGACATTTCCACGGCCCTCCGGGCTTTTCCAAAGACTGCAGGCCCTGGGCGTGATTCGCAGCCTCATACAGATACAGTTGGGCGCCCAACCGAAAGAGGCCCAGCAGCCCAGTAGCTGCTGTACACAGGCAGCCTCCCGGGGCCTTCCGGAAGCTTCTGGGCCCAGGCCAGTGCAGCCAGGCTGCGAGAGCAGGCCAACTCTTTCCATAAAGGAAAGAGCTCTCCGCTGGCAGTCTCATTCAGTCACTTGCTGGCTGGCGGCAGCGCTGCTGGAGCGATTGCTCGCGGGCTGGCTGCCGGCATTGGAGCAAGAGACTGCGCACGTGCGGTCGTGTGTGGGAGCAGGGCGCTGCTGAGGGCAGCGCCATAGCCAGCCTTCATAGCGGGCTGGGCTTGGATGCACAGTGAGGCACAGGGGTGGTCTTCGGGTGTGAGAGAGAACAGGTGTGGGTGTTAAGTCAGGGAAGGGTGAAGGATGATGACGATGATGATGTGAGGGCACTTACCTTGTATTGGCGATGGTCTGCATATGGGCGACATCTTCAAGTACTTCGGGTTGCCGCTGATGTCAACGGTTGCATTGTCTATTATTAGGCTGATTGTAGCTGTGTAGGAGTAGGCTGGGCGCTGAGCTCCAAGTAGGAGTGTGAAGGGACTGGACTCTTGTGTGAGCTCTCCATGTGTTGCATACTGTAACGTGCAGACCAGAACAAGAACCGACCTCTCAATGCAAAGTACAAGATAACACAGCGGAAGACTTAGATACGAATGATCCGAACAATCAATGTTGCAATGCAGCCCTGAACATACATCATCATCATCGTTACCTGGTGTGAATGGGGTCTGGCGCTTCACACAGGAAGACTGCGCCAGCCCATACCATACACAGACGAAGAGGAAGGGGATAGACGAAGATGAGGGGGAAGATGGGAATGTCGTCAACACCGAGTCTTCGGCACCGGCCCAAATAGTCCCTCGTCGAAATGTCTGAATCCCAAATGTCAAGTCTGGATCCAATGTCGTGAATACTAGACCAACCTACTAACATGCAAATAGGTATTAAGAACGTAGTCAACACCACAAAGAATAAAGAAATCCCATCTAGACCTATATAAAAATTGATATTTGAGTAAGGAAGCMATCRTRTTRTTTCAACAAATYGGAATTTAGCTGTAKAATTYTCAAATTGTATCCAAAACAACAGAGAGTATAAAAAAGTGATCAAAGAGGTGCAAAAGGCAATACTTCGTATCAACCGTATTTTCGAGTTAGGAATAAGTAAAACGATGAGGGCCCCTGAAAGAGGCCACTTGATAAGACCACTCAGATTGTCAAATAATGGAGCACAAATTTGTAACATATGTGTCTGCTTTTTTTGGGTGGTTTCAACAAGTTTTTAGTTGGTTCCAAGTCTCCAGTCACAACTCTGTGTCTCTCTGTCGTAGTCTGAGAAGTCAGGTGGCGAGAGGGCGAGAAGAGATGGTGGACTTAGAAGAGGAAGAAGAAGAACTCTCTCTCTCTCTCTGTGTCCAGTACTAACCTGTGAAGTTGGCGCCTTGATGCAGGTACCACGAAGATGGAGCTGGAGCGATGGCGCCACAGGTAAGTATCACTGGCCTCCGCCAGTATCTCTCCCACTCTACGATCTACCACCTACCAGTGCCCAGCGCTGGAGACTACAACTACAGCTATGGTGCCCAGCGTCGAAGACTACAGCTAGCCCTAATACCACCTAGCGCTGAAGACTGCTGCAGCGCTCCTCCTGAGTGCTGCGACCGAAATCCTGAAGACTACCCGTGCCTACTGACACTACCTACCCATGAAGTGCATGGGAACTTCCTATGTACTACCGGGTGAGCCTCCTGAGCCTGCCGAAGGGAGGCAGGGGCTGCAGCTGCAGCTCCTGCTCAAACTTGTGAGGAACAGGCTATTTCTGGCCTGTTCCACATCCCTGTTTACGTGCCTGAGTCTTAGAGGCGGTTGAAACAATGAGGGCCTGAAAATGGCCCTCCGTCTCAGGCTGGAAAACCTCTGGGTCTGAAACGAAGTAGGGCCTGCAGGCCCTCGTTTTTCAGCTTTCAGGCTGAACGACGGGGGCCTGTAAGCCCTAAGTTTTAGGCTTTTAGGCTGAATGTCCGGGACGGGCCCTGCATGGCCTGTGTGGCTACGCAATATGCCACACCCCCCCCTCCTTGAAGAACCGAGCTTACCTGCGAGGGCGAAGCTGTCTGTCTGAGGGAGGGACCACAGTCCGGGTGGGAGGGGCTGGTCGTGAAGCTTCCTGAGCTAACCTCCGCCTTTCATAATGTGCGTAGATCAGCGGTGCGGATGCTTTCAAATCTGCGCCTGAAATCCACCGAGTGTCGTCGCGATCGCATGCTTTGAATGTGACTTTGTACTGCTGCGGCTTGCTGCCGTACTTGCGATCGGAGATGACGCGGTCAACTTCCTGATGACCATCCATAGAAGGAGGGTCCTGCGATCGTCGATCCGGAAAGTCGTCGCTCTTGGCTGGCGTGTATGTTGCCAGCTTCGAGGCGTGGAAGATCGGATGGACCGTCAGATGCTCTGGAATGTTGATCACAAATGAAGGGCCATCGGGCTCATTGCCCGCCGCTGCTGTCACAGACCAAGGTCCAAACCACTTGGGAAGCAGTTTGCGTGAAACATCCTGTTCCAGTGCAAACTCTTCCGCGGAGACCCAAACCAGATCACCGACGCGGATGGGACGTGGTACGCGACGCCTCTTGGTTTGCTGCTGCATACGGACTTGAGCCTTTTATATATTTGCGCGGGCTTGAGTCAGCAATTCCCTGTACTTCCGGACGGAAGCGGGAGAGCAGGCAGAGGGAGGAGAAGGTCGGCGAAGATCCGGCCTTTCCGTCCACCGTGGTGCAACTCGAATGGAGTCACGCCAATCGTTGGATGCACCGAAGTGTTGTAGGCAAACTCGATGTCGGGGAGGCGGTCAACCCAATCTTTCTGGTCCGCACAGATGAGCGTACGAAGCATCATTTGAGCGGTTCGATGTGCCCGCTCCGTCTGCCCGTCTATCTGAGGATGCCGAGCCGAACTTGGTTTGATTGTTGTGCCGGACTCCTGCATGAGAGCAGTCCAAAACGCAGACATGAAACGAGTGTCGCGGTCGCTGACAATGTCTTCTGGTACACCGTGGCCACAAATCCAACCAGTGTGCAGGAGGCGTGCCAGCTCGGGAGCCGTGGAGTAGTACTTGCAAGGGGGAAAACGCGCGTACTTACTCAATCGGTCCACAACCTTGAGGATGCCGTCGTGCCCGAGCTGGTCGCGAGGAAACGGACCGGTGACGTCCATGGCAATGGAGAGACCGGGTTCCCGTGGGATAGGCATCGGGTGTAACTCGCCGTAGGGATTGCGGATTCGGGGCTTGCTGCGTCGGCAAACTTCGCAAGAGTCGCAATACCGAGTGACATCGGTAATGAGATCGGGCCATCGGAATCGTTGTCGAAGCCGTGCAATAGTGCGGTTGACTCCGAAATGGCCGGCGAGTCGCGAGTCGTGGTACTCCCCGAGAAGGCAAGTCCGAAGACGACGGTCGCGTGGGACACACAATAAGTCCTTGCCTCTCGAGTGGAGGAGCAAGTATCCGTCGGCAATGCGATAGTTGCTGGCCGGCAGGTGATCCGAAAATAGTTGTGCGTACAGCGTGGCGAAGTCCGGATCAGACTCATATGCCCGAATGAAGTGTCGGTGAAGCTCCTTGTCGAATGCGAAGGCATGATGTGTCATAGCGCAAAAATCTGGTCTTCGCGAGAGTGCATATGCTGCGCGATTGGAGAGGTCGGGAAGATGTTTCGGTGTGAAGTCAAACTGGTCAATGAAGTACATCCATCGTCCGTTCGTGCTGCTCATCGTATCCTGCGTCTTGTAGTAGGTCAATGGACTGTTGTCTGTCACCCATGTGAACCTACGACGCCCAAGGAGGAAGTGTCGCCATCGCTTGAGAGCCATGACAAACGCGAGTAGCTCCTTCTTCCTTGCATCATCAAGCGAGTTGATGGGAGGCACTTTGTGGCTGAAGTACTCCACAGGGTGCCAGTCGTCGCCGTCGTGCTGTTCCAAGACTGCCCCAATGCCAAAGCCGGAAGCGTCCGTAGTCACCCTCGTCGGCAAGGTGGGGTCATAGATGCTAAGGACGAGTGCCATGAACATTGTCGTCTTAAGTGCTTGGAATGACCGGCGTGCGTCGCCATCGAATACGAATGGCACCTTTGGCGACTGTAACCTCGTCATAGGTGCAGCAATCCTAAAATATCCGGTGATGAATCGCTGATAGTAGCCCGCCAACCCAATGAATGAACGAATGTCCGTGGTGTTGGTGGGCTCGGGCCACACTCGTAGGGCCTTGATCTTGTCCGTGAGCGGACGAATGCCTTTCAGCGTCACATAGTGGCCCAAGTACTCCAGCTCCTGCTGTGCGAACTCGCACTTGTCGCGGTTTGCTTTGTACTTTGCCTGTCGTAGCCGCTCGAAAATGGTGCGCAGGTGTTCCACATGCTCCTCCAAACTCCGGCTGCACACCAGAATGTCGTCGAGGTAGATGAGTACGAAACGATCCAGCATGTGTCGGAACTCCGTTGTCATAGCCGCTTGGAAAGTGGCTGGGGCATTCGTAAGGCAAAACGACATAACCAGCCATTCGAAATGCCCATACTGTGTCTTGAACGCGGTCTTGTAGCGATCCTCCTTGCGAATCTCGAGTTGGTGGTACCCTGACTTGAGATCCAGCTTAGAGAAGAATTGGGCGCCGCCCAATCGCTCGAGAAGGTCATCGATGCGTGGGAGAGGGTCGGYGTTCCTGATCGTCTGCGCGTTGAGCTTGCGATAATCGATGCACAACCGCAGGTCCTTGTTCTTCTTCCGGACGAAGAGAACAGGAGCACCGTATGGCGATGAGCTAGGCCGAATCCAGCCTTTCTCTAGAAGGTCATCGAGTTGTGCGCGAAGCACACTTAACTCTTCCTCGCTCATTCGGTGTGCAACCGCGCGGAGGTACGGCCCCGTCCTCGAGGATCATCTAGTGGCGGATGGGCCGATCCGGTACTACTCCGTGCGGGCCTTCGAACACGTCGCTGTAGGCGTCGAGAAGTTCGGTGATGCGTGGATCCGAAGACGAGTCCGTCGATGAAGCGTCTAGGGGCGGGAGGGCGTGGAGAAAACACACCCCCATCTCCACGATGTCGTCTCTGATGATGGAAGCTCGCATGCTTGCGGCGGATACCACATGGCAGCTGATCGAAGGATGAGGAAGAGGCACCGTGCATGGAACTAATACTCTGTTCCGATCACGAACGTGAACGGTGCGGTTGAAGATGTTCACCGGGTGATCCTTGCTTCGCAGCCATGACATGCGCAAGATCATGTCGAAAATGGTGTCCAGAATGTCAAAGGACACCGCCTCACTTGTGTGAGGGGCAAAGTACACTGGGACGTCGTCAATGCACCGGTCGATTGACTTGTGCGTGTGACCGTCCGCCAATGTGACTTGCGTAGGCTGGGGCTTCCTTCGTACGCGTGGGCCAAGGCCGGCGCACACCATGAAGTCATGGCTGATGTAGTTGCGAGATGCTCCGCAATCGATCAAGGCATTGCAAGTCGCCTCTCCAATCTGAATGCGTACGTATAGCAATGGTGCGTCGATGTCGTCGTACCGTTGCGTCTTGAACTCGCGGTCGATCTTCGCGATGTAAGCGCTGCTCCGGCGTCCATCAACAGAGCTGGTACTACAGTGTGCAAGTAATCCCGCAATTGTGCCATAAGCACGTTGCAATGCGGTTTCGGCAATCGTCCGGTCGAGGGAACGGGCATCCACTGGAAGTCTGTGAACGTCAATGGGTCGACCTCTTCAAGTCTTGACCATGACGTCGAATCCCCGGCGATAGATTGCGGCGAAGGTGCCGAATCGGTTGTCGATGGTGATGAAACCGTGCATGATGGATTGTTGCACGTGGAGCGGTTGGTCCAGCGGTGGAACCAAGTGGACAGCATAGTCCTCGTAAGTGTACCGAGGACTTGCGACATTCGTGTTCTCCCCAGATGTGCAGGAGGCCGCTAGCAAGGCGGCCGAATCTGGCGGAGTAGAAGGTGGAGTCGCCTCACCTTCCGCGGAGCTCAGTTTCCCGAGCTGAGGCGGGATCGCACATCCTCCTTGCCCTGATCCTGGCACAGAGAGGTCTTGTGCTTGGTGTTGTTGCACCAATAGCAGCTGCCGTAGCGGCCGCAGACCTTGTACTCCGCCTCGGTCAAGCCGAACTTGACCCATGGAACTTGCATTGGCTGTCCATTTCCGGCGTGCGATGCGGATTTCGCCTTCCCATTGTTGCGGGACTTGTTGTTGCTTCGCGGCTGGACAATAGCCACCTGATCTCCGTCACTTGATGTTGGGTTATCTCCATTGTCCGACTGGACTGCAGCGAAGTGCTGCTGTCGCGGACCAGTTCGTACCTTCTCCACATAGGTCGGTTGCCATGTTGATTTCTCGTGTGCACCTGACCTGTTGGTCTTGATGATCTCCCTTGCTTTGTCAATGATCTCAGCAAAGGTTGAGTACTGCTCGCGATCACCAAGAGCCTGGCTCAATGCCGCACAGGACCTGTTGTAGAACTCACGGCGTAGATGCGTGAATGCCAATTCAAGATTGGGCACTGCCGCAATCTTCTGCCACTCCGTGAGCCAGTCCCGTGTTGCAGTGTTGCCCTGTGACATGGTGAACAAACGGTTGATGGTGAGTGTCGGCGCGTCGTCGACGATGAACCGCTTCTTCCACAGTCGTGTCAGTTCCTCCCATGTGATCTTGTCCTTCAAGTCCGGTACGTCGACGCCGTGGGAGGTTGCCAGGTGGCTCAACCAGGTCTTGCATCCGCCCTTTGAGTTCAAGAACAGGGCGCCGATGTACGCATGTTTGGGTACAGGCAGAATCCTGAGTTGCGTTGTGAATGTTTCCCACCAGAGGACCGGATCCTGCTGTGTGTAGTCGTCGAACTTGTCCAGTTGGAAAGTTGGCATCTTGTACATCTTCGGATTGTCATCCGCGTTCGTCGACTGCAACTGCTGGACCTTGGTCTTCAAGGTATGCAGCTGACTGCTGATGGTGGTCGGCGCAGCGAAGGTGCTGATGTCGCCGAGCATCTCCACTACATGGTCAACGCGTTCCTCCAGTTGGCGGCTAGAGGATGCACTGCTGGAAGCCCCAGCATCTGGTCCTGGTACAGCTTGTTCCAGGCCCAGTACACGGGCGTCCAGTGCCCGTGTAGCATCCTCGTGCTGAGTCTTATGATTCCGCACGGCCCGCTGGAGGTTTGCCAACTCGAACTGTAGGTGGTTACATGTGTAAACCAACCTGCTCAGGAGCTTGGCCATGAACTCCTTATGCTGCTCTTCCGGTGTTGCCTCGTCGCCGTTCGGTTCAAAGTGCCAGTACTTGAGTTTCTCGATGTTGTTGGCTCCATGCCGCTGCAGCAGAGCCTGGGCTTCCTTGCAGCGAGCCTGGGCATCTGCGTCTGCTTCGGCCTGTAGCCGCAGCTTCTCTGCTGTTGCCGCTTCTTCAGCCTGTAGCTGGGCAGCCTTG